CAGTAAGGGTATCAGAGTATCAAGAAGGATATCAGTAAGGGTATCAGAGTATCAAGAAGGATATCAGTAAGGGTATCAGAGTATCAAGAAGGATATCAGTAAGGGTATCAGCAGACAGCTGACCACGGAGTATCGGGTGACAGAGCTGGAGTCGTGGGCGGTGAACCTGGCGGTCTGTGGCGAGTGACGAGAACCTTTCAGTCCGTCAAACTTGGCCCTCTGGTGCTCCGTGTTGCCCCGCTGTAAGTTACTCCCCTCGCCACCCCGCACCTCACTTCCGGTTTCTTCGCGGCTGCCTTTCTGCATACTGCCCTTGACGTCACCATTTTGTGCCGAGTCGCTCGGCTCCGAGTGAGGAACTTGTTGCTGCTCCCCTTGCATTGTGAGCGCTTGGAACAACGGCGTGTCCCCCAGCTTCTGCTTCAGAACTCGGTAGAATTCAGCGTACCCTTGTTGATGAGCTTTGAGAATCTCTTCGTCGTCAGGGAAAAGAGACGTAATCACATCCTCGGGAGGCAGAGGAGGAGGGTAAGGTTGCTCTGTTGGACAGCTCCCGGAGCAGTTCTTGACTGCTTTCTCATTTTTCACTTCGGAAGACTGCATTGACGAAAAACCTTGACCTTCCTCGCCGTCTCTATCACTGCTGTCGACCTGAGCCTCTGTTCTGAGTGGTTGGGTCACTTCTTCTTCTTCTTCTGCAGGTGTCGTTCGGAACTTCGCATCGTCATCATCTACATCATCATCATCGTTATTATCATCATCATCATCATCGTTGTCGACGTCTTTGCCGCCTCGGAAGAAGTCATCCTCGGCAGGGACAGCAGAATCAAACACGACCGGCGGCTCTTCTGAGCCCATTTTCACAGGGAGGGGAGGAGGAATCATCATATCCCCTCTCAGCTTCCCTCCCCTCCCCGAAGCCGAAGCCGAAGACGCCGTGGAGGTCTCCCCTCCCTCTCTCTCCGTAAATCCAGAAAATCCCTCCGAACGCTGAAACTCCTCGTAAGTCGGGTACTTCCACTCTGTTCCGCCCGCCGCCCCTCCTTCCTCTCCTTCTCCTTCATCATCCGGGTGTCTGATCGTACCCCTACGACCCACGAGAGGCGGACCAGACACGTCGGAATCTCCTCCTACCTCCGACCTCCCACCACCACCAGTATTCCAGCTGCCACCCAAGGGAGGCCCGAACTGACTATTACCGCGGCCGTCTTTTAAATCAGCCGCGGATGATGATGATGACGACGCCAGCGCCTTCTCGGGGTTGCCATGGGCAACGGATCCGTCCCAGGCCTCGGTGGTGATTTCATCAGCCAGGGTGGACCACCAGAAGTCCTGTCCTGTTCCCGCCTCTCCCACCCTCCTGGCCTCGCCGTCCTGGCTCTCCGGCCCAGGTTTATCTCCCCTCGTCCCTGGGTCGGAAGTGCCTGGTGGGAACGCCGCCTCCTCCCCTCGCCCCGCGGGCTCGCTGTACGGGTGGGCCAGGAACGGCGCGTCCGTGTCGGTTTCTGGGGGAGGAATAATGAATGAACGATGGAAGAAAGAATGAAAATGTTAAAGAGTAGGCCTACATGACAGGCATGCCCCCCTGTAACACTCTAATTATTCTTTTTTACTTTGTTCAGGGCACAAAGCATTTTGATTGGTCTATCACCGTCAGAGACGTCTCCGGAAAGATAAAGTGTCCCTTGTTCTTTATTTGCCTACAATTTTAGTCACATAAATTAATTAATGGTGAGCTCTGTAGTAAACTGGATGTGTGCCAGAATGAGCTTTCTAGGATATAATTAGGGCAAGCGAGTATCGAGCATCCGAGTCCGCTTTGCTGCGGCCCAATGGTTCATCAACATTATATTCTTTATACCCTTCACAGTCCAGGTTTGAGGGTTTAAATTATTGATAGAAAAGTAAGCTGTATACGTGATGAAGTAACGCGCTTTAAGAATAGATAGATAGATAGATAGTACAGACCGATAGATACATAGATACATAAATACATAGATAAATAGATAGAAAGACAGACAGACAGACAGACAGACAGACAGATACTCTTAACTTCTACCTGGAGAGTTGATCAGTATCTCCAGCCGATAGACTCGCTTGTCCAGCGTCCCAATGTGGTCACCCCATGTCGTCACCGCGGTTATCAGAGGTTGCATGGCGCTCAGTTTTTGCTCCAGCTCCAGAATTTGGTGCTCTAAGACCGAGACACGCGTAGAAAGTTCTGGAAAAGAAAGATAAACGAGCGTGTACTCAAACTCCATCGAGACAAAATTGTCGCTTTTAAGGACAAGCGGGCTAACCCATATTATTTCGGGGGTTTCCAGAAATCTTGATCTACACCAAAAGTGGGCATTTCCCTACCTATAGGAGAAGTTTGGTTTCATTGGTGTGTATATTTGTTTGGTTATTAAAAAAAAACTCTCCTTGTCTTTTAAAGAAACTGAACAAGGTTCCAAAAATTTTACCTTCGATTTTCTGAAAACAGCATTTTTCGGGATAGCCCCCTTGTGCTTAACCCTATCCGTACGTCCTGGGGTCATTTTGGAAAGTGGTGGCACAGAATTCCCCACGTCGTATGGATACTATAGTAAAATACGACGTACGGATAGGGTTAAAAGCTACCAAATATTGCCCTGATTGATTGTTTTCTCTTTTCCTTTGCGTTCCCCTTCTTCTACTTCCATACTATATCTCAGGGGTAGCGGACTTCTGCTGGTTCTTCAACTTGCGATACAACTAACTGATTTTTAAGAATGGGAACCTTTTTCTTGCTTCTTCTCTTTTTCTCTTACTCCTTGTTTTTTTGGGTTTTTTTTTTAAAGAGTTTGTTTTAGGAACTGCTGGGATTTCTGTTTCTGTTGCTGCTGCGAGT